TAAATATGAAATTTACGTTTATTATTTTCATTACATAAAAGTTGATGTTATTAACATATGTGTTCTATTATATGTTTATATTAAATATTCAAATATATTTTACTGACATAAAATTTGAATCTAAATAAAAATCGGTAGGATGTAAACTCGCTTTCAACACGATGATGATGCGTACCCGAAATTGCTGAGACTGTTGTACTCTCTGCCGGTTCTGCGGTGCGGTTACATAATTTTCTCGTGCATTATTTATGCTCATTAGCCGCAATGTGCTGTTAATATTTCGTCGTATACGCATAATTCATGAGGCCCTTCTTGTCGCGGCTGCGTTGCGTTACGTCGACGATGCTCTCTTGTATTTGCTGCGAGTTGCGGGGGCGTCGGAAGAGGCTATCCCCAGAAGAACCGTTAGTATAATCCTCCGCACCCTCAGACTACATTAACTCTACACACCAAATGATATCTCCTCTTCTGCTCATCCCGCTTTACCCGTCCGAAATCATCGTTCTTCCCCTCTAATGTGACCACCGGATAAATTAAAACGTTCAAGTCTGCCGTGTAATAAAATTAACGAATTCCGCTTTCATTCCACTTACTTTGCACTTGAAACACAAACGAAGCAAATGCATTATTATCACATACATCTCATTATATCTAATGAAAAATCATACATATAATCATTATAATTTATTTACTTCATTATATTTCATACTAATGAAAAAAATACAAACTTTATATATTTACTTATTATATTTAATTATTATTGAAAAAATAAACGTTTTAGAAATTTGCAATTGAAAATACATTATTATTCACATCTTGTTATTTAAAATGAAATATATAAAAATATTTTATTTCTTCCGATGAAAAATTGATCGAAAGATTTTAGAACTTTATATATTATAATACGATTAAGATTGAAGTAGAACTCATCTAAAAATAATATTGATCGTTGAGCGGATGCGGCTGCAAGTTTATTTCATCAAACATTTCTAATTTCCGGTATTTAATAGAACAATTTGCCAATAAGTTCACTGCAAGAATCAATTCCAACAGACTTTAACCTACTTAACTCTAGAATATTTGCATTTTCTTAAAGAAAAACATTAAAAGCTTCAAGTTCTTAAAAAGAAAACAATATAACTCGTATTTTTGAAGGACTTTTATGATTTATAATCTAAAGAAGTTAAGAGCTTATTAACTTCAATAAATCCATTAATTTCAGTAAAATAAACCTATGAAAATTAAAATATTTACTGATTGTTTCTTATAGATGTACTCTATATTTCGGAGGATAGGACGCACTTTAAGTCGATTTTTCTGTGTAAAATTGTGCGTTTTATGGTCTGAAAAATACGGTATTTATTATAACTATTAAGTAGGATTCTCATCCTTTGCAATTTGGGGTTATTTTTATTAATAAATTATAACTGTAATTGATTTAATTTTATAAAAAAAAAGTATAAAGTTATTCATAAATATTCATTGATGTTATTATTATTCAACAGGAATCCAAATGAGCATCACAAACAGGAACCAGTGTTGGCAGCTTCAAGAGAGAGAAACAGATTTCGATCCATAGTATGGGATGAGTACGATTCGGTGCATCAAAAATATTTGGAAATAGGTGAGTTGACGCAGCATGAAAGAGATACGATCTGATATGCACTTGGTTTATAAATGATTGAACGGTTTTAAAAGTGGCACAATGCGAATGAAATCCGCAATCCCTGAGAGTGCATGTTAAAAATGTATTAAGCTCGACACGGCCATTGCCTAAATGGATAGGTGAGCTCCGATCTTGAATATAAAACCGATTCCTTTTGAATATTTGATTAAGAATTTCTCTTAATGATGGAGAGACGTAGCAATTAATAAGGCGAGTTGCGTGTAAGCCTGCGCTGGCGTTCTATTGAATTAGGTGCAATTAGATGGGGTTGGGCATTGGAGGGATACGTTCTCTCCCATAATCTCTGCACAGGAATTATGCTGGCTCACATTAACACATTCATTATGCTCTCCTAGCAAACTCTGCTTGTGGCGTATCCGATTGCGTCCATCCGACGACCTACTTTGCTCATAAGTTGTAACACAATGTGTTATAAAGGGAAGGGTTGCCGAATTTGGACCATCCACGACCAACAATAAAAAATATCTAAAGTAACTAGTTTCCCAGGATGGACTAGCTGATTTTTGTTTTTTTTAATATAATTTAAAAAACGTACCTTTTGCTATATATATACTTACTAGTACAACTAAGTGTAACAATATATATAGTAGATCATGTATTTTTCCTTAGATTCTTCACACAAAATACAAAATTAAAAAAAATATTTACTCCTTTTTTATTCAAAATTTGATAATTTTACTAATTTAGAAGTCTAATTATTGGTATTACTATATTCTGGGTTAATCCTCTAATTCGGCGGGTCCAATTCAGGCAACTAAGTATGGCAAATAATAATTGAAGATATTTTATTTTGCCATTACTTTGAACTTTATTATTAAAAGTATTGCTTTTTGACTCAGGACAACCTAAGGATTCAATATTGGTGTCGTTCAAAATTCGGCAACCATCCCTTATTGCTTTCAAAAGTATTATAGAAAGAAATAACAAGTTTGGAAGCGTTCTCATTGATGGACGATCGGAGGCCGTTTATAAAAATCAAGTTAGACGCGATTTCGGCCGGTCGTTTATTCCTGTAATGGAGCATAAATCTCCCGGTAAGACCCGGTGTTGATGGGCGCAAGTAACTAAGCCTCCCTCCTAGAAACCGGCCGACCGCAGATTCCACCCACTAAATCAACAACAGTCAATCTCGGAACCTTTCGCCAACTAAGAATTATTAGGTTACTATCGTACGAATCGATATTAAATTTGCGGACGGCAATTTCCACGGACCAAAACCGGCCAAACCTCGCACATACAACCACCCTTCCTCCCACGTCCCACAGACACATACACACACCCCCTTTTCCCGCCGCATGATTTATCGTGGACCGGGGATGAAATGTGTAATTACCCACCCATTCACTTCGCAACCGCCGAAATCATCAAAACGAACGCCACCCCAAGTATTACCACATTAAAGGATTACCACACATAACTCATATTTCAATTCCCCTTTTATTTATTTTACGCACACAAATACTCATTCCACCGAAAGAACCAAGTAATTCATTACAATTAAAACCACTAATTTATTTCAACCCTTTTTCTTCCTTCAATTATCTATACTAAAGCTTACATCATCACATTTACTTATAGGCAGTTACAAACTAATCTATCGTGACGATATAACTAGTAATCATTACGTAAATATAAATTGACTATTAAGACGAGTATTTATATTACAGTTCAATAAACCTAATCATATAATTAAACACCTCAAAATAAAGTCAATTCAATTGAAAACGTATTTTATTCAATTTTAACAATATAGAGCTTTGTAATTCCATGTTTATAAATACAATGCGAAATAGAATATATGTATCTAATTGATGGTGGTTTAATTAAACAGTTAAACACAAAATTGGTATGAATTGTTCAAAAGCATTGTTGCAGTAATAACATTTTTGACATAGCGGAGAGTTGTTTATCTTTTTTTTAAATAATTATTATAGTTAAATGTATCGTATTTTATAGGTTTAATTAATCAAACACAATAATTTACATTGAAAATATTTTTCTCTAACGAAGCTATAGCTTTCATATATGTATTTATTTTGTGATTGGTTCAGTAATGCACATGAAAGTCTATGACTCCATAAAACCAAAAGAGATTATGCAAGTAGTCTATGGCTGGAAATATGATAGAAGGTGCATTAAAATTGTGGCTTTCTTGAAACTATTCTCCATCAAGATTAAAATTTAAATTGTCCGTGGGTGTTTTTTAATATGTGAAGCTGGCTTCCAGAAAATCTTATCTTGGGAGTTTTAATAGCATAATGCCAGCGGCTTTTAATGGCTATTGGGCCGTTAAAATTGGCTGAGCAGGAATGGGCAATGCTGGGCGACCCGATGTAATAAATGATCGCAGTCCGGGACAAACTTTGAATATTGATGCCTTTCGTCCCTCTCTCTCACTATCTGTATGTACGATCGAAACATCGTCCCTCCTCGGGAATACCGCATGAAGCACTTGGAAATAGATTTAAAAATTACCTTCTTTTGGGATGGAAGGCGAGATGGAATTTATTCTCTCGCGCACAGGGGTTGGTTGGGTGATGGATGTAACTTCGGGTTTTAAAACATTTCGAAATAAATACGGGCGAGACAAGATGCAGGGCGGTACGGACAGTTTATCCGCCCACCAACTAATGGAAAATGAATTATCGTTTGCATTTCCTGCTTGTACTTCTCATCCCTTTTCCATCTATTCATCTGCGCGTAACCCGTGTGCTCACATTACGATATTCAAATCGCACTTCAACTCGAAACGTTTCCTTCCTAATTGTACTTTGATTTTATTGAACGGGGACTATTAGCGAATCCGTCTACGGATTAGTTGAGGCTTGGAAGTTATGGACTGATAATTTGGCGTATATCTCTCATGTGCCCAAGATAATCTCCGAGAGTGCGTATAGTTGGGTCCCGACTGCTCGTAAATTATTTGTCCTTTCCGCGGAAGATTAAACTTTAATTCCGATAAGGCCCTAAGACCAAAAATATCCCGTGACAATTTGCCGCTGCCGATAAAGTAAACCAAGTTTGTAGTCTCCGCGCGCAAATACAGATAGTTTAGAACTTTGTTTTGTATTCATTACTAACTTATGTTTTTTCTTTCTTTCTTCTGTGTTGTAGGAATGAAGCCGCGCATGAAGAACCATTTCCGAGCACATCAGTTAAGCGTTTGGCTTCGATTGATACCGGAACTGCATCGCGCCGGAATGGAGGACGTCGTCGCAAGGCACAACTTGTTTAGGAATCATAATAACGCCGAATTGTATGATGGAGCCGTTCGTCCAGATCCATTGTCACGTGTTAGTTATTACGATCCGACGATGGAACTCTTCAGGAGGAGACCTAATTCAAGTCTGAACAGCATCGAGGTTCCTACAACTGTCGATACAATGGTTACGACCTGCGTTAATGTTCAAAGTAGTAACTTCAATCAACAATCCTTCCAAAACCAGAACACTTCCTCTGATACTCTGGCTAGTCTCGAAGCTGCCGGATATGCTGCCTATAGTACTGCACTTAGCGTAACGATTGCTATAGGATGTTCTTTGCTCATATTGAATGTACTAATATTCGCCGCCGTTTATTATCAGCGGGATAAAACTAGGATGGAGGTAAAGTCACTGCAGCAGCAACACAACAGGAACCAAGCGAATTTCGAGACCATTTCCAAGCAAGGCCACTATCATATGGGCCATTCGCAAAGTGGAAGTGTTATGGTCGATGTGGAACAAGACACAACTGCGATGATCCTAGCGGCAAACTCTCAACACGACGCCAATAAAGTCCAACAGCACCTTTGCCCTCAAAACATACAAATAGCTAATGCTCTGAAAGCACCTCCACCTAGTCCGAACGTTCTGCAACAGAACTGCATGACTTTACCGAAGAACGCAAGTAGCTACAATCCGAGTTACCAACAAGCTTGCATGACTTTACCGAAGAATGCCACCATGCTCAACAACACCGCCTGCATTGTAGCCGAAATGCAGCAACAAGGAATTGTACAACCACCCAACGGAAATGCCACCATGCACATGAACGTGCCCAGACCACCTCCACCACCTAGGGCTAAGTCACCACCTGAATCGCAACCTCTTCTCACGCACCACAACCAGAAGAACATGAGACTCCCGCATGCGGCCATGAGTGAAATGCGAGTGTGATAATTTACACGTGAACTAATTGAATGATACATACGTCCAATTATGTGAACACTCGTCTAGCCTAAAAAAAAAACGGGCCTCATTCCTACAAGATTTGTACATACCATAACAACTAATTTATTATAAATGTTTGTATGTATAAGCTCCCACTCTGAAACATGCATATGATGTAAACCTTCTTTTATTTGTTAACACTAGATCTTTAAATTTTGTTACCCATATACCATTAATTCTATTCTCATGTTTATATAATTTATCTATACTGTTAACTAATTATAATCCATTTTTGTTTAATCGAAGAGGAAAACGTGAAGGAAACTGCCACTTATCATCAACAATTTTATACAACATTCATTTCCCGTGCCAAAATATGAACACACATCCATTTCGTGCGCCGAAGCAAAATATTCCCCCACCTACATAAGTTCGTAAAAGAAAGTGTTTTAGATAAAACAAGGACAATCTACTTTATCAGCGAAAGTAAACAACAAGATGAAGGAAACAAAAACAAACAGGAAGGAGATAAATACAACTTGTAAATATATTATAAACAGTAGAAGCGTTTCAAACTTCAACGAAAAATTAGTCTACTTAATTAGCTTTAATTAATGATTTATATAGGACCTGTATATAAAATATATGAAAAAAACCAATGGAATATTTGGAACACAATTAAACAAATTACACAATTGTATAACGGTTTGATCAAGAAGAAGAACGATTTATTTTTCCTATATTTAAATTATTAAATGTTTTGATTTTTTTCGGTGAACTTTGGAACTAGTCGTCTGAATGTAACTCTTTCATTTCAGGATCATATTTTATATTAAACTTACTGAAAATATAGATCTGAAAAACCTATGTAAACTAAATGAAAAATAAATAAATGAAACAAACATATATTTCAGACTTGTTAAGATCATATGTTTGACGAGAAATGTGACATAATAATTATTAAATAAAAATTTAAATTAAATTTATCCTGAGTGCTTTATTCCAACGTTTCCTTCGCAACATTGCATTCTGAAATCTCCAATTATTTTTGCATTTGTTCAAGTAAATTGCAATCAGCGTCCCTGTTGTTTTTTTTTTTCTTCTTTTCTTTGCTCGCCTGGTTTTCGTTTTATTTTGAATGCTTTATCAGGTGAGAGGTATTTGAAAAGGAGAAATAATTGAAATTCAAATCAGATCACAGGAACAGTGTTTAAAACAAGTGCCGTTAGATTGAACAAAAGACTTTTTAAACATGTAAGATCTGAACGGGAAACATCGCCCGGTTGAATACAGTAGCAGCCCTCCACGATGGAATCATTTCCATACATATTGGTTTCTGATATAGGACTCTGAAAAAGGAAACGGAAGCGGCAAATAAAATAAAGGACTCTACTTTCTCTCTCTCTCTCTCGATCACGCTCGACCTCTCTCTTCAGCCTCACACTATTGCTTAAATGTTTCCAATTTACACACAAACTCCAAGCTACCGTCACAATTGGCACTCTCAATGAAAGAGAAACGTTTTAATAAAACATTTATTAATATTACGCAATAGAAAACTTACTCGGCTAGTAATAAAACACACTCTTAACTTTATTAGGACATATGATTAATAATGAGATAGGAGATAAATAATGTGAACACACATATAAATACTGAATATCATAAAATACTGAACACTATACTAATCAGTACAATTTCGGTAGAAACAGTCTAAATTAAACTTTTTTAATGACAGTGCCCGTCTCCGATTCATCCGACGGCGATGATGACTCTGAGCTGCTTTCTTTATTCAAACTCGGATTGGAATTTTTAATTAATTTCGGTATTTGTGAGGGAGTTCTCGCTTTGAACGGTTTCTCCTCTTCACCGCCTTCCTGCAGTTCCTTCTCCGTAACTTTTGCTTCATGGATATTATCTTTAGCCATTACGCGTGGAATACCTTTGCGGATTTCATTGTTCCTCGTAATTGTCGGCTTAATTATCACCTTCGGTTCGCACTTCTTAATTGGATTATTAGGGTCGGTGGTAATTATAGTTTTCGGTAGTTTTTCAATTCTCCTATCGTCGCTCGTCTTCTTTAGAGTGTCGTAAATTGGTTCCATTTTTCTCACCGGTATTAGAGGTCCCACGTACAGATTATTGCAGGTAATTTCAGGTTCCATTGGGGCCGGTGGCTCTTCCGCGAATATCGCAGGTGAGCGAGAATTGATCGGCGATGTGTTGCAGGGTTTTCTTCCGAGAGTAGAAGAGCTACGGGGTGGCGGCGCAGGTGGAAATTTGATTGATTTATTAGTCGGGGAATTCGGTTGCGAGTGGCATGCATTTTCAGGTATTGGTAAAAATAAATGAGTTGGAGCCGGCATTGATCGTCTTTTATGGGCCAGAGTTGCATCCGGATAGTCGGGTAAAACTTTCGGAAAATTACGTCGTTTAATTGTCATCAGGGACTCTTCCGGAGTTAGCGGTATTAAATCTTCCTCCTCACGACTCGTGACATTAATATCGTAATTCGGATCGAACGTTTTCATTTTCTTTATGGGCGTGGAGTAGATCAAGTCTTGCATCGGCTCAGACTTGGATTTTGCATGGTGATGCTCTATTTTAACAATAGTAGAATCCATGTCAACATTCGTAAAACTTCTACGTAACTCTGGGGCAACTTTCATTTCTAGAAAGTTATCCAGAGTTGCAGATCTCCGCAGCGCTGCTTCTTTCTCTAAATATTTAGTAACCTCAATAGGTTCTTGCCTCAGTACACTTGCACTACGAGCACCCGGTGTCGCATCTATAGCTACAGACACTTTTTTTGCTTTTGCCTTCTGCTTTGTCACATTTTTCCGTTCCATTTCGACCGGGCTGACGGGTCTTGTCGGGCTTTTCCCTAAAGTCGAATTACTTTCGGTTGTTTTCGAATCAGTTCTTGCATGCTGATTATTCAATGGAACTTCCTGCTTCGGTCTACGTAAACATTTAGGACTGCACCGTTGCACAATTTCATGTGCAATCCAATCTCTCACTTTAGTATGCGGATCAATTGTACTGGCAGACAATTGACGACTCAATTTATATTTAGAAGAGTTATCTTCATTCATTTTACTAGCATCATATAAATCGTTAGCTTTAGGTGATTTTCCACCAATCATTCTGATAAGTCCACAACTGTTTTGTAAATCATCTTCTGAATTAGGATTTTTTCTTGAGGAACCTTCATTAGGATCGTAATTCTCTTCATACGTTCGTTTTTGATGATTTTCTCTAGTTTTCATGCGCGTACATTTATAACATAATATAATGATAAATATAACTACATTTAGAAGTAAAAAGAAACATCCTGCTATTAAAACGTTCATAGTTAATCCACCTTTCGCGGGTGGTTCGTTTGATATTACAGTTCCAAACTCTTTTTTTATATTGCTACCAACATAACTATCATCTGCTTTTAATTTTATGGTTCCATATGCAACATCAATTGGTTTATCAATTTTCTTGATTTTGTCCGTTGACGTTCCTTTTCCGAAAGGAAACCATGGTGGAATATTTCTGGATGGCTGTTTTGGTGGAGCTGGAAAATAGGTAGTTTTAACGGTTGGTTTACTTGAAAATACAAGGCTCGTATGATTGGTAAGTATACTAGGAAATTTATCATTCCAGTAATTAATTTCGTTGCTTCTATAATGGTATCTGATTTGTGGTGGTATTGCTGCAAAAAAAATAACTTAAACAAATCATTTATAGCAAAATATATGATTATACCTAAGTATAGATATTTCTCGTTAGATTGGTCATACTCAGGCCATTCGATATCGTACTGTCTCCAGTCTAAAGGAGTTCCTGTTAGATAGTCATGCTTAAGAATATTTGGATTACTGAAAAAAAAAACAGTAAAATAATTGATTAACTTTGAGATGATCAATAATGAATATCAAGATAATATAGAAATACATCACGTAATAAAAGCTAATTAAAATTGTGAAGAAATGTAAAATTTGTATTTTTAACTGACTGATTTTTTTAGTTTAGTTATTAAATTAAATTCTAGTGTAATCATAAATAATTGTATTGCTATGATTTCATAAATAAGTTTTCTGTTTATAAAAATATTATATTTTATGTAATTGTAGGAAGTTGTATATATGCTTCAATCAGCTTAGATATACTCACCCTGTATAGGCGAAATTGGTCCAGAACGACATAACAACTTCAGAGAACAGCCTCTCTTGGTTGCTGTAATGATCCACGAAATGAAATTTGGGGCCGTCCAGAGGCACGCCGAAGACGTAGGGCAGTTCTTCGCCGTGGGTCGTCTTGTTGCGCTGTAGCATAACAATATCAGACTCTCATAATAACATCCCTACAGTTAGCTTCATAAGATTATGAGCGGGGGGTAGTTTACGGTTTATTATTTGCTCCATTACACGCTTGGGAAAACGTCCTGGCGTTCTTTAGTAGCCACGTAAGTGTGTGTGTGTGTATGTATGTGGTATATACACGCTGCCACTTTATTAGTTCTAATGTTGAGAAAATTGTGGCAAGAGATAAGAGACAAGAGGGAGACGGAGGTAACGAAATATATAGTTTCATTAAGGCTAAATAAAGAGCAAAGAAGTATAAAATAAAAGCAGAAACAAGATACTGCGGTTTGTATGTATTCTGGCGAGTCCTAAATTTTCGGTCAGCATGGTTAAACTCTAGAGAGGAGCGCTGTCTCCAAAGGGCAATACGTATTCGACTAAAGACATTACACGTCCCGCATGAGACATTAGTGGCCGGATACCTGGACCCGGGATTCCCAAACGGGATCGAAAATATTGAGCAGTTTCATTTAACTCTAACAATTTAAAAGTCTCCGTTTATTTAACTTACAATAAAGTCTCTGGATGCAGTCGTGTGGCCAAACACGTAGAAATAGCTTTGAGGGTTCACGGTGGAATGGTATTTAGCCATCAGGGCTATGGGAGCTGCAGATCTCGCATCCGATAGCATATCCAAAAGAGTATCTCTTGCCATTGAGGCTCTATCGGGTTCGTGACCAGTGAATCCTTGGATCTTTTCAAATCCATCCCCGATGTATGCTTTCAGCGTGTGCGCTAAATACAGTTCCGGTTTGTATTCGCACTTTGTGTATAGGTATTTCCTCAGCTCCTGATCTCTTTCCCTTTCCAGCATTCCATGTGTCAAGGCTACAGGATTGAGGAGATTCAAACTTTCCACTTCGGTTAATCCGTACATCAGCTCGAACTTCCTAAAGAAGTCGTTGTAGTGCTTCATTATTTTATTAGGCTCGTTCGGAATGACCAGACCATCGACGATGGGCCCAAACTTGGTCATATACTCCCTCGTGGTGGCAACCACATTCATGATTTCGTTGATCCGTTTCTTACGCAAACACGCTGCCATTTTATCATCGGTTGGACAATTCAGTGATTCCGCAACTTGATAAGTTACTTGTCTGGATGTTCCAGCCAGAGCCCAATCGGACAACGACGTCCCGCCCATGAGGATGGCGCGATTGAAGAGGGCTAAAATCAATATTATCATTATTAAGAGTTTATGTAACGTGCGGAGGGGGATTGAATTACGGTATCCCTCGCGGGCGACCATCGGTGATAACATCAAGAGGCTTATACATGCGGCGCCCGTTCCGTGGCCGAACAAAGTTATGGAATTTGGATTTCCTCCAAACGCTGCAATGTTATCGTGCACCCATAGCAATGCGGCCACTTGGTCAATGAGGCCGAAGTTGCTCTTCGACGTTTCCTCTAGACCCACTTTCAGGAATCCTGAAACGGTAAATAAATTATTTTTTAAGCCGTGCAGGTTTATTTATTTCCCTGCAAGGGGATTTCGGAGCAAACACTCGTGCAAATGCTGTTTACGCCGCGCGATTTAATTCGCTCGGGATATCGAGTGAAAGAAGGCAGTAACTTGAATTTGTCGGTATAAAAAATCGAGTTGAAAACCGTTTTTTGGATAAATTTATTAAACCTATCAACCCTACTATTCAGTCAGTCTCATATAAGAATAAGAGAATTTGTGAAATTTATTTATTCAAGAATCATACTTCTTCTATAACTTGTCGCTTTTCTACTAAGTTATCAGATGTTATTCATCATTGAATAAATAACTAAATGAAGAAATAAAAACAAATTTTTTTTACGAAATCCCATTAGCATTAGATAGATTTTTATGGACAGTTGGATCAAGATGATCTTCATGGACTGTTATATATAACTATAAGAGAAAATGTATTTTTCAATAGTCGTTTTGTATATAAACTTAAGGAAAATAAGTTTCTGTCTAAATTAGGTTTGGTGCTCTCAGCAAGTTGAAAATGAAACGTGATGAAGTAGATCGACAATTTTATGAAATTTATATTTTTTAATATATTATATACATGTAGATTGGGCCGTGTTTGAGGAGCGAGTAGTAGTACAGTTACGAGGCAATAAAATGTTTATGAAAGCTATCTTCCTTCTTCTTCTTCTCTGAGAGCGCACCGGGACCATCCGAGATGAAAACTTCGCTTCGGATCCGATGTTTGGATTTTTATTTATTTTTTTCGACGATCATATGCGAGCTTTGTCCGCGAAAGTGAAGGGCGCGAGACGTTCTGCAAGGGGCGCGGCAGGAGGCTGTGTAGGGGATGAGGAAAAAAAACCTGTCATTTTTACGACCGCACTCAGAGCGATCCCATCTCTTCCTAGCCGGATATCTCTTTGTGGCGCGGGCCAGATTTCCGCCGGGGGAAATTTATATCCGTCCGCCGGTCATACACTGCACGCATTCGACCGACCCCTGGTCCTCACTCACCACCCCCACAGTTTCCACAACCATCCCCTTTCGCAGACTCGCAATTTGGCGACACATTCCACCCTAATATTAAATTATAACATTTGCTCAGCCCCACGCCACTCGTGTTTTCGCGGAAACTTATCTTGTTACCGAGATAATTTTATTACATTTTTCTCCCTTTTTTTTTCCCTCGTCCGGCCATCCTAATCCCATTAACAACTCGTGGCCGAAATAAAGCTACAATTAAAGGGCAAACAAACAGAAATCGGAAGGGCTTTAGCGCTAATACGCTTGAGCTATATATTTATTTCTTCTGCTACTTTTTTCTTTCACTTTCGCTCCACGCCGAAAACCATAGAAGTGGGTTGAGGATGAGGGTGGAAGATTGAGGGACGGCGGCAGAAGAGGGTTTTACGATTTTCAATTCGGGAACAATCCTGCGAATTACTTTCGCTTCACTTTGCCTCACCTAATATGCCCAAACGAAAATTCAAAGTGACGACGATAACTTTCCCGTACGATGCCAGTACGCTTCCATCGTACGGATTTCCTGAATTCCATTCGAACGACTCGCCATGGATGAAGACCATCACGGGATACTTCGACGAATGCGTCCTGGATGTATCTGCAAAAGAATAAAGAAAATATACCAATTGTAAAACGCTCACGTTCTTCTCGTATGACTGAATAACTACAAATGGAACATTGAATTTTTCTTCTCATACATTTAAATCGAAAATAGCTATAACTCGACGAAAATATTACATTCTGCAGTAATAATTGGCGTTATTACAAATTCCTTGTATTTGATATAAGTACATCTTACTACTACTTCAAAAAAAGGTGTAAATGAGATTCAATAAATTAGTAATAACTGTTATTATTATTGTTATTAAATTGATCATTTATGTAATACAAAATAAATTTACATGGTAGATCAAATCAACAACTTATTAACTTAAGAGAAAAATGAAACTTTTAGTTGGTAATTCTTGAGACCATCACTAGTCTTAGTTGTCTTCTCAATAAAACATTGTTTTAATTACTAAATTTATTTACGAATATTTGTACTTAATCCCCGCTTTAAAGCAATAGAATTACGAGATAATCTACGGTGTCCAGAAATGTTTAATCAATATTCAAATTAATGATGAGAAATTACATAATTCTTAAATCGTTTCTTATAAATTTAATATTTTCATATGACATTTTTTGAATTATTACATTTGCTATAAGTTTTATTCTAATATAAATATTCAGACATAGTAAAACCTATAAATATAAGAAATATTACCATTACAAAGAAACAACATATTCGATTAGCAAAGTTGTTTTCTTTCAAAGAAACATACACAGTGAGTCTCCAATAGCCATAATAATAAAGATTATGTCTACTTCTCCGGGCACACTGTCGTCAAGGTCAAGGTCATAAAACATTTAACATATAATACAATTTATTATAGTAAGAAATATTAACTCATTATATTAAGTAGTTGGTATACTTAATATAATGAGTTAAGATGTATTAAATTATGTTAAACAGCTCTTGGACATGAACTATAACAGGAATTTTCATACTTTAAATATTGTGTACAAATGTTTTTGATTTGATATAAAATATACTTTATTTAAATAATATATAATAGATAATAACTATATAACTTTGTGAGAACTATTAATATTGTTAGAAACAATTTGCCTTTATTTATTAAAAAAGTAATAATTGTATTGAAAGAAAACTAAAGGAAATATAAAGTGTTGAATGTAGACTAGGCAGTAAAATATTTAATTTTGGCAAAATATTAAACAGGATATAGATTTTAAAAGTTATAAATATGTATGAGCAGATTAAGGACGTAAAACTTATTTTTAAATTTATTGAAAACATGTTTTAATATGAGTTATATAATTAGTTTTTATTTGCTTTAAGAGAATATGAGGTAATAATGTTGCAAAAGATTGATGTGAAAAGAACTATTATAAAATATTTGGTTTCCAGACTGATTTGTACAAAGTCCCACAATAATCGATTATAGAAATAACTTTTTTATTATTGTTGCTGTCATTGCAACATGATGTTTAATGCATTGACAGTAGGATAATACAATAAATAATCGTTGCGAGGTTCTCTGTAATTACGATTTAAAATAATTCCAAATCATTTAAAAGGCTGTCAGAATGTGGACATCCTGTTGTTTTTTATGTATTTGCATTTTCCTGTTTGACATTTAATTGGAAAAGCGTTGGAGCAATGTTTGCGGAGCACAGTTTCCGCCATCAGATAAATAATATATTGCAACATTTTAATGAGTATTTACAGTGAAAAAAAGCGAATAAATCGTACGAATAATAAATTTTTATTTCCACCACGCACGAAAATATGAAAAAACGGTACTAAATAAATACGCGCCAATTCGTGTTTCAAATTGAGAGTTAAGAAATTTTGTTGATAACTTTTTGATTTACGCCTCACCTCTGGTAATGAAACTTTCCCATTGTAGAACTTCCACCCTCCCATATTCAACCATAATTACCACCACCAACCAAGGGGTGGATATTTTAGCATTTCTTTGTAGAGTCTGAATCCGCCCAATCCCTTTACAGTTTCAACTTTTGCGTCTGCACATCCGCCCGCATCTGCCTTCATTAAATGTAAACAACTTTGAAATAGTAATTTGCATTTACAAAGAAATATTTAAATTTAGTTATAATAACTCGAAGTTTCTTTCGCTTGGTCTGTTATTAAAGTACGCTGTAAATATAATATAAAAGCGGATCGGATGAAATAAATAAATTGTTGGAGGAGGTTTAATGGCGCAAGAATTAATATATGCTTTGATACCGTGAAGTTTATTGGATGAAATCAAATCGGGTTTGAAATGTCGTGACATTAAGAAAACGCAAATCGACGGTAATCCCAATAATCGTATCCAATTACCCCATTTGCTCGGAGCGCAAAAAACGTCTCCGCTTCGAAGCTTGGAGGTTCCACCGCCAAGCGTCGCTACTTCACAGAAGCGCCCCACGTTGGGCGCCGGAAAAACGGGCAACTAACGCAGCGAGCCGGAAAATCGATTGGCGTAACAAAAAGCGCACGCGCGATTGCAGTTTTCCACTTCCTCCCTAGTCGGAACTCCAGTATTAATTACAAAGTTGAACATCATTAGATGCGAAGATTGGGGGGAAAAGATTTAGAGACGAATAAAAATAATAATATATAAAAAAAAACAAAGAAAATACACAGAGAAACGATTCTCAAGAAAAATAAGTTTTCGAAACTAATTACGTTGGGGGAGTAATAAAAAAAACAACATTGTTCAATGGGGATTATGAGATATGACACTTTTAATTAATGGATAACGAGATAAAAGTAAATTTAATTCTTTCATCTATTCTTTTATTATATACATTTTTCGAACGTTGATTCTTTTGTGATGCGTAAGAAAAACCGCGGAAATCAATTGCAGGAGGGAAATTCACGGTTAGGACTTGTTAAAATTAGATTAGATCCTAAAGGCGGGACCGTAAAAATGGTTCTAAAAAAATAAGTTGCCAACGTTTGAAATATGAGCGAATTTGAATACATCAACAACGCCGCGTTTTTTTTTGTATATATTTATTAAATGAAATTATGCTTTGCAATTTCAGATTGAATTAGCTATAATCAATGCAGGGCCCGAATTTATTCGATGTGAAGGGCTAATATGATTAATGCTTTGTATTTGGAAAAAAAAAGTAATCCATTTATCAATCGTTTTTTTTTTGTGTAAATTGAAAAACAAAAAAGTAATTTATATGGAAAATAAAATCGTTTCCATTTATATTCGATATATTTAAGATGTACGGTGTTTATTATTAATAGTAAGTGATCATAAGAGTAGGATTATAATTGATGTGATGTGAATCTATTACAATGCTGTTACTGTTTTCTAAGTAATGATAGGAAAATTTACAACGAAGTAAAAGAAAAGGCTTTCCCAATATTTAAGATTTGTAAGAAAATCAATTTTTTTAAGAGATTTTCTGACGTCCTTTGCGATATGTTTTGTAATATGCAGTTTGTATTATCATCACTATTTTTAAGTGATGATAGGAAAATATATGAAAAAGAAAAACAAAGCACTTTCCCCGGGGTGTTGTCAACTCAACAACGTGTTTAGAGTCATAGTTTACGCAAACGTATCTTTCATAAACTATGATACAATCTGATGTATGACTCCTCTCAGCTCCAGGCGCTATTATTTAGCATACTGGAACGTTATTTCAATGACGTATACGAAACATGATATACAGCAGAGTTATTACAAAAATGTGTTATATTATATAATAATTTGAATATTTATTAAAAAAATATAAAATAATTTTTGATTGTTCGTAAACCGAAACTCTTTCTCCAAAAGGATGATTTATTGTAGTTCGAAAACTGAAACGTTTTCCCTCATAAGAATGTGATAATCTAGTAGGGATTTAAAATTATGTTCGGAAATCGAGTCATCTTTTATATTAGTTCAAAAAACAATGCGTTCCATTGTAGAATAATTAATTGAAGAACTAAACCTGCTTTCATCAAATAAATTTAAATATATACAAGTGAAAAATCATACAAAATAAGATTATATAAAAAATGTTGATTTTCTATAATATTTTATAAATTAATTATGTATTTATATATATTTCATGTAGTCATGTTTGCTTATATAATTAAATTAAAACTTATGATAATTTTAATTATTATATAATTGACTATTTATTAAATCAAAATTAATTACCGTTTTGTTATTTGAGAGAGAGAACAAAGTGCATGTAATTATTGCAATATTCGCAATTAAAATAATATTTATATTACATATTTATATGAATTCGAATTATTCATATATTTGAATGTAAGTTAATACGTTTAATTATTTCAATATATTTATTGCGAAACGTGGATTTTCATTAATAAGTCGTATAAACCTGGATTTACTTGATAAAATTTGTTAATCAATTACGTTGCATTTCGAACGTCATTTTCGCATAAATAAATCAGGCACTACTTGTTGGAAACTGATAAAATATTAAATGAGCACTAAACACGACTAAAAGTTTGCAGTCAAGTTTGAAAAGAAGGGTCGAAATGCAGAGAGAAAGAGTGAGAGAATGAGGTAAAAAAATGAAGCGAAAAGAAAGGGATGAAACGTTGTAGTAGAGCCATGTAAAATGTAAATTTTTTCAATTGGTCCCGCGAATTTTAATAGTCCTTCGCCGCCCAAAAACCTTTCCCTCCAGAGGCCTGTTCGAACGTTTTGCAGGGTGGCTTACAAGGTGTGTGTGTATCCTTGCAGCACACTATTAAATCCGAACCTCGCCAAAATAATCCCCGTATGAAATGCAAATATTTTCTTTATGCCACATCAACTATGAGACATTAAGGTAACAAATTTACATGAGAATGGAATAAATTGAGAGGCCCGAAATAAAGAAGATTGATTGCGCGTTGGGATGGAGGATAAAAAAAAATACAGAAAATTGAGGCGAGAACGTAAACCAAGTCCGATGTATTTTTTTAATGAACTTAAACAATCATAAAATAATATAAGCTTTCAACACATCAAATTTTGTATAACTTGAAGCTAAAGAAA